TGAATTGACTATTTACCGGTAATTCATTCCAAATATAAAAAAAAACATTTCTTTCAAACTTCTAAGAAAAAAAGATAATTTAGTTTTACCTACTTTGTATTTCCTTTTCTTCCTCATGTTTGAAAACGACATCCCACAGCAGTGAGCAAGGAACAGACTCGTCTTGACATTATGCCAATAGAAAGTTATAACTTGAAATGTAAAACTTTAGTTTTATGCATATTGTTATGTCGATAATGAGATCTCTTTTTGTAAATTGAACAAAAAAGAAAAGTTTTTTCAATTTTTATTTTTCTGCATTAACTAATAGAATTTTTGGGTTGTATACTCTGATTTAATAACCAAAACATCGCTAATTTATCAGGGCAAGCTGTTTTACTTCTTCCCTAATGATTTTTTGAAGAAACTGCAAAAACAAAGATTTCCTGTCCAATTTGATGAAAACAGCTTCAAAGATCACTATTTTTCTTAAATTTTTTTTTGTATTATCTGACAATATTCTCAATAAAAAGAAAGAAAAAATGTTTTTTTTGAAAATCTCTTTCTAAAAAACGAACCATTTAATTTATGAAATTTTGTTACTTGTGGCGTATAAGTCTTAAGTGAATAGGAATTAGTTTGTTCGGATTTCGTGCAAAATACACATAATTTGTCGGTAACAAAGTAGTAAATTTCTATGCATTTCTATAATTTCATATGACAGGGGCCGCTTTGTAATTTGTTTTATTCTGTTCGTCAGGTTGGTTATTCAGCAGCTGATGCTATCATTGGTATTTATGGAATATAAAAAGGAATATAAAAAACAACCTACGAATTTGTTTTACTTTATTTTATATTTTTTTATTTATTGATTAGTTTATTTTTTTGACATAATATAGCTGAAACAACAACAACGTCAACAACATCAACAACCTGAACAACAACTAGAGCAATAAACATAAATTTATTGCAACAGCATTTAGTTTAGTTCCCTGTTTTCAACAACAAAATATTATCTGAACTTTGAACAACAAAAATTACAGAGAAAATGTTTATCCGAGGCAATTTTCGTCTTTTATTAAAGAGAAATTTTTTAAAATTATTGCTGAATGTATTGCTTTTTCGTTCAAAATTTTTTAAATTTAAGCTCAAAGTTATACGTTTCATTCGTTTATGAAATTTTGAACTTGTAAGGTATGTCATCCTAAAAAATAAAGCTTCAGAAAAAAAAAAGTTGTGATAGAGGAAAAAACAGCATGGGAAAATAATCGCTTTTTACGTTGATAGCAACAACTAAACGCAGTTATTTTTTTATTTTTTTTTTTTCTTGAGTCTGTAATAGACATACGGTCTCTCACGATAAAATAAAATTCCTGCTCTCCAACAATTGAGGAGAAGATAAGAGAAAAAAGCTCCTAAAAAAGATTCCAAAGCCAAAAAGAAAGAAAACAAACAATAATGCAATCTCTTTCATCCAGTTGTTACCAGTCACGAGAAAACTTTTTGGATATTTTGTCCAGTGCTTTGATTTCAATCGGAATGTGCGTCCCTCAAATTCCATCGACTCGGAAAAATACTTTTTGTTTCAAATTACTTTATATACTACTTTTACTTAGATTATAGCTATTTCTTTGATGCCGCAAAACCATAAACTGCGATCAGCAACTAATCAATTAGAAATTCAGACTGAAACAGTCTGCTGGTCTCGTTTTCTTTTTTCCGCTCAGACGGAGGCCGATAATTAACAACTTAAATTTGCATGGAAGGAAGTAGTGGCCCGTTAAGAAGCAAACAAAAGAGAAGGGAACGTTCCTTTACCGGAGAAAACTGTAATTACAGACGAAAAACCACCCTAATACCATTGTACAGCTAAATGTTAGACTGTCACTGTTCACTGATATGTTAATACAAGTGTTTCTTCATGCAGTGGGGCAATGATGAGACAGAAACGCATAACGTAGGGATCAGAAAAATTACTGCAACAGTTCAACAATCAATAACAATGATCAGCACCGGGAGCACTGATCAGCTAAATCAGTTATTGTAACACCATTTCGTGTTGACGAGTGGACTAAAAAATAAGAAAAAATTAGTTCACCGTTTTCTTCTAAAATAACTACACAATTAAAGAATAAAAATTATAGCAGAAAAAAAAGCGACTGAGAGCGAAAA